CTGCTGAACCGGCGAATTTCGATCGGTTCTCCCTTCCAACATCATTCAATATTCCTTGTGTCTCAATCAAAAAAGTTTCTCGACGTTAGAATCGTTGCAGATATTGTCGCTCCTCTCTTTTGCTTCTCGCTCTCTGCTCTTTGCTTTTTGTCATATCCCGTTATTATCTGAGCGCTCCATACACAAATATAGCTGAAGGCTGAAGACAAGGATGACTGCAATAGCATCAGTATCATCGCCATTAGATGGCCGAAACAGAAATGGTGAGGCGAGCGAAGCCGTGGTAGAATCGGCGCCAGCGTCCGCGACGAACAACGCAGACAACATCAAGCAGTTCGGCGTCGCCTGCTCGGAGCTGCACGGCTTCAAGCTATACATGGTTCTTATTGGCGTCTGCTTCGGCGCCTTTGTCATGGCTCTCGATGTCTATGTCATCGGAACGGTTCGTCGCCCCGGCAATACACACAATCGCTCTCGCTTTTTCTGTCTCTCTTTCTTCCCAGTCGGGGAAATATCTGACTTTGCTCTTGCCAGGCCATTCCCTCCATCACATCCGAATTTCAGAACACATCACACATATCATGGTATCCAGCAGCCTACACCTTGGCGGTCTGCTCGCTCACCCCCTTGGCGGGCAAAATGGCCAGTGTGTTCTCGCTCCGCTGGGTCTATCAAGGCTTTTTCTTCGTCTTCCTCGTCGGTAGTGCCATTTGCGGCTGGGCATCTACAAGCGAAGTCTTCATCGTCGGCCGTGCCGTCTCAGGCATCGGCGCAGCTGCGGTCACCAGCGGAGGGCTCGCCGTCGTCTTGACCATATCATCACCCCAGCGTAGGCCGTTATACATCGGCCTGTGCAGCAGCTGCTTTGCTCTGGGTCTGATTCTCGCCCCCATCATCGGCGGCGCCTTCACCGAGAAGGTCACCTGGCGCTGGTGTTTCTGGATCAATCTACCCGGTGGCGCCGTCACCCTGCTCGCCATGTTCTTCTTCTTCAAGTTGCCGCAACGAAAAGGTAAGCCAACGACCACCATAAGGAAAATTTTGAGTCTGGATCTCGTTGGGTCGTTCATTTGCGTCCCGGGTATATTCATGTTGATCCTCGCCCTACAGTTGGGCGGGAATTCGTATCCTTGGAAGTCGGCAACAATTATTGGCCTTTTGGTTGGATCAATCGTCATGCTGTGTCTCTTCGGCATCTGGGAATCGCGCTTAGGAGACTCGGCCATGATCCCTGGTGTGCTAGTCACAAGACGCACCGTCCTGCTCAGTGTCATCTTCTCCTTCTGCCATCTTGGTGCTCTATCCGTCTCGTCTTACTACCTCCCGGAGTGGTTCCAGGCAGTCCAGGGCGCTAGTCCCTTTGAGAGCGGCATAAGGGTGCTGCCGTCCGTCATATCACAAATCGTAGGAACGATTTGCGCAGGTGGAATTGGTTCGTACATTCCCAATCCCCTCGCTCACGTAATGGCCTCTGACGCGTCACCACAGCCCTCAAGATCCGTTTTTACAACCCTTGGTTCTTTGTCGGGCCCGTCTTGATGTGTACCGCAGCTGCTCTATACACCCAGTTCACCGTCTCCAATACCCCATCGAGCCAATGGATCGGATTCCAGGTCATTCAGGGCCTGGGCGTCGGCTTCTCCATGCAGATGCCATCTCTAATGGTCCAACTAGCGCTCAAGGACCGCGCCGACCTCCTGCCCATCGGCGTCTCTCTCAACATCTTTGCCCAGTTCCTTGGGGCTACCGTCACGCAGGTCATTGCCGGTGCCATTTTCCACGCGCGTCTGGAGAGCCAGCTCGCCTCGCGAGCTGCGCTGAGTCACGACCAGATACAACTACTTTACCGGAGCGGTATCGCAAACGTACGAGCCATTGTGGACAAATACTTTCCCTCGCTTTTCGACCCCATTATGGAGTCGTACAACTCTGCCATTGCTCAGACACACGTGAGGCCCCTATCTCTAACACCCGACTTCGCGTTTCCAGATTCGCTAACGTGTCGCTGAAAAGTTCGTCGCTGTTGCCTCAGCTGGTGTGGCTTTTTTCCTAGCCTTCGGGATCGAGTGGATTAGAATAGAAGGCTCGGCTATCAAGCTGGGCAACCAGGATAATGTGGAAGCGGCAAACCCGACCAGGGAAGAGAAACCATCAGAAGCTACGGGGCATTGAAGTCCGTTTCTCTGTTTCTGGGTCTCTCTGCAGCACGTTCTCTGTTCTGGGGAAGCAAATTTGGCTCCGATGTCCTGGTTCCGACACAGCTACCTGGCGGTAAAGTTCACGAATGATTCTTTGTCGATGCTGGGCGGATAAAAAATGGCTGGAGGTTACAATAATTATTAGACATGCGATACACCTGATGTAATTATTAAATACTTTAGAAGCCCCTTAACAGGGCACATCTCCCCTTAGAAATGTTAAACAACGACTCTTCCTGGTACTATCAGATTTATTTAGCGAAAATGTCATCCAAAAAGTTGCCCGTTCAAACTAGCAATGTAAGTTGCGTATTTCCTTCAGCATCCAACCTCTCATTAGATACATTTTACTATGATCCTTAGTATACCTTAGTAAGCCGACAACATAACGAACAACCACTTATCCCAGGCCATGATCTAGAAACATGATGACAGTTAGTCGCGCTTTGCATCGTTCGCGATTCTCTCATCCTCGACTAATCTCTGTAGTTTCTCCAGCCCAAACATCTTCCAAGTCTGCCAATCAATGACCCATTCCCCAGACAGTCGTAATGCCAACCATATCTTCCTCGACATACCACCACACCACAACCAATCCGACCGTCCGAAAAGCCAGCCCTCAGGCTTCAGCGCATTCCCAACCAGCTCCTCCGCAAAAGCATCTGTATCCGTTGCCCCCTCCTCCTGGCTCAGGTGTACGTATCGCTCATACAAATCGCTCATCTTCGCGTAGAGCGAGCCCGGCGAGAGACTAGGCTGCGGCTTCTCAGCGATCCTGGACTTGACGGTGCCCGCCACGACGACCATGACGCGGACCCCAAACGGTCGCAGCTCCTGCCTCAGAGTGCGGCTGTAGCTTGCGATGGCGCCGTTGCTGGCGCAGTAGACCGATGCGAACATGTACGGCGTCACGGCGGCGCAGGAGGAGATGTTGATTATTAGGCCTTGGGCCGCGATGAGATCGTCCGCGAAGGCTTTGACCATCGCCATGATGCCGAAGACGTTCGTGTCGAAGTTGGCGCGGACGTCTGGGATGGATAGATCTGTGGCGGGGGAGATGTGAATTCGTCCACTGCGCGAGCAGCAGCATTAACAAAAAGTGCGATCGAATGAAGGAATGAAGTGTTAAGGGTGCCGCTTGACGTGTACTTACGCGTTGTTGACCAGGATATCCAGCCTGCCTCCCGTTCTATCTTGGACTTCTGTATGGCAGGCAGCTATGCTCTCCTCGCTCGCCACGTCCAACTGCAGCGCGTCAAAGCCTTCGGCAATTAGTTCAGCGATCACATCTTCTCTGCGAGCTGTAGCGATGACATGGAGTCCTGATACACGTCAACGGCTCTTCATTTCCAGGATTGTTTAGTTTTCCTGCGGACGATACCTCGTTTCCGGAACGCCTGACACAGTGCATGACCTATACCGCCCGGGGAACAGCTAGTGACTTTGTTGGTTGATCTGTGAGGGCTATCGGGATCATGCTTCGCTCTTACCCTGTTACGAGGACTGTCTTCTGGCGAGAGCGTGGACTCATTGCCTCATTTGCACGCCTGTAGTTGAATACTGGAAACGAATGATGAACCCAAGTGTTTGGATTTTTGCCAAAATTGTGCTTCCTGGCTTATGTCCTTCTCTTTGACGACTGTGGTGGTGAACTGGGTTTCGCACTATCACTGCTCGGTGCCTATTCTTTTCGAGGTTATCGAATAATAGTGATACACTTCTGCATTTCGATGCCAAGGCCTGGAGTGCAGATCATCGGAAGCCAAAGCCGGCGGGTTTATCATTGGGGGGACGTTGACAGGGATGTACAAATTCGCCGGGCCGGCGTTGAAGATGCAACAACTCGGGAGAATTGCCCGGAGGAGCCTTGCTTCCAAAAAGTCCTAATCGGTACGTATCAGCGGCAAGAAACAGCGATTATTAAGAGGCCGCCAATACACTGCTTGCTTCACCGAAGATGCACCAGCCCGGTAGTCTCTGCGTATCTGGAGGTATGTGTTTTTCCACGGATAGGATTCCAAATGTCAGGTTTTCTGCATTGAATCATTAGCCGAAATTAAAATCGCATCCTGGTTTTCTTCAACTGACACATCAAGGTCGTGGATAACATGCCATACAACTTGGAGACTTCCGGATCCTCGTCTGTTTCTATTGAGAGTCACACATGGCGGCTTTCCCAAAGTGACTGCATGTCCCATTGATCAACCATGTACAGATGTATTGTTGCTTAGAATCTTTTGATTCTCCACGAGAACTCAGACAGGTGGGTGCTGAACGTCTCGGTGTATGCGGGGCCACGAAGGATGGCTGAGACTAGGGTCTTATGGAACTCGACGATAACGGTAGCCGACTTGTCAAAGCGACTGAGACGCCAGCTAGAATGACCAAAGCTTTGGTTGCTGGCGGAAAGGACTCAAGTAATCGAGCAAAGGTTCAAATTTACGAGGACGCCCTAAAATTACCAAGCATGATCCGTCCTACGCTTAGTTATTCAAACCTCCTAGATCCTGGCATTTCTGGATTCGCTACTCCGAAGCCGCCCAACGAGCCACGGTATTATGCTAGCCTTCACTTGCCACTCACAGTGCGGCCCAATCCCTGCCGAGGGCTTTTGCTCCTCAGGTGCGATTAACCTCGACAGCGCAGTCTAACGCTGCTCTGTTGAAGCAGATGGAGCAATAGCTGCAAACTGCAGTGTATAAATGGACCCGAAATTTTAGCCTAGAGGCTCAATTAACTGCGATCGAAAGAAACCAGATGCAAGATCAACCATAATCCCAATGAGAGGAATAGACGACACAATCACTCAATCCATCCTTCTGTACTCATCACATCCCTAGTCCACTTGTCCAACTTCTCTGCGAGTTTCTCGTCCCTCGCCGCACTACTCTCCCACCATGGTTCACCACACCGGTGATAGATGTCAGTGTACATACCACTTTGCTCCGCCTTCATATCCTGGCTTGCCGCACAGAACAGACTATTCCACGAGCCTTTGTCGGCAGACCAAAACATCTTGAACACACGCAAGGCCGATAGGATGCTCAACACGCCCTTCTCGGACGGCTCTACCGACGTCGAGAGGTTCGTCTCAACAAGACCAGGATGCACGGATGAAGTCCAAATTTCGCCCTCATCATTCTCTGAGCCGGAGCCGTAAATCTTGTGCAGGGTTTTGGCGTGCAGAATGTTGGCGACTTTACTCTGACCGTACCGTTGCCATGGACCTTCATCCTTGAGGTTCAGGTTGTCAAAGTTGATGCCAGTCTTGGGTGCGCCTAAGTGACCTGATGAAGTGAGGTTGACGATGCGTACACTGCCGGGAGGAAGCGTTCTTGATGTCTTGAGCATTACTGGGAGTAAGTGCTCTGTGAAGACCCAGTGAGACAGGTAGTTGGTTTGCCACTCGGCTTCGTGCCCGTCTTTTGTCATGTCAAATGGTGCCGCCATGATACCTGCGTTGTTGACCAGGCCATGTAGGGTTGTCTCAAGGGTGAGGAAGTGCTTGGCTGCTGCGACAACGCTAGTGAGGTTCATAAGATCCATTTGTAAAAGGTCGATATTGGCCGAGGGGTGTGTTTTTTTGATGCTCGCAATGGCTTCTGTGCCTTTTTCTAGGGATCGGGAACACATGTAAACATGAGCGCCGTGTTCTGCGAGGTGGGATACGGTGTAGTAGCCCCTATGATGTGGAAACATTAGTGATTTGGACTTGTAGATAAGCTAGTCGAGGGTTAGACTTGCATGCCGGAGTTACCACCCGTGACTATGAAGACCTTGCCATCAAGGTCAGGAAGAGAGTCGGGATGGAAGCTCATATTGCAAAAGAGCCCTTGGTGAAGCTGAGGTATGGGTTATGGAGTTATGATGGCAAGAAGGAGATGATATAATGTGTTTGATTGAATTGCATGATCTGGACGACACAAAGACTCTGCGTCGGTGCTGCCATATTTATATCCATTCGATTGCTCAATTTCCAGGATACTTGGATCTCGGATCTTCTTGCAGGTATCAAGCGTTGTGAGCAACCTGCATGATCGATAACCAATCATGCAATATCCGGGTTGAGGGTGAGTTGATGGACCAATAGGAAAATGCTGACTGAGGAAGTGAGCCAGCTGCATAAAATATGGGGCTTCCTAGTTGTCAGCCATGGAGGTGAGCAGGTTGCATGACACTTGACCGGCTCGAGTTGGTATCTGGTGGACTGACCAATGATATCTCATCAAAGCATCAACTAGCCTCTGTTGTCTGTGCCTCAATTGCTGACATGGTCGACATCGATTCCCCCGTTCCCGAGCGCCAGACTCGTGATTTCGAGCATCCTACATGATCCTCAGGGAATTTACGTCGTTCATCACCGGTCTCGTGGTCCGATAGAATCACGATGACAACGGCACCATGCATTCAACTCTCCTCCATGCCGCAGTTGGCCGAGGTACGTGCCGCTCGGACATATCATGATAGGCCTTGCTCACCGGATTTAGGCGACAAGTGGACAAGACGACTGGACAGGGACCACAAATGCCGCAGCAAGAAGAAAAGCACAGACTAGACTCAACACAAGAGCATACCGTAAGCGAGGCTCACGCCAGGTACTCAGTTATCGAAATTAACAGCAGAGTAGGCAAACGTAAAGCCTTAGCAAATAAACCCGAAGCAGTCAATGCCGCAGCCAAATCACTCATCAAATCAGAAGCCGTGGTAGAATGTTGGGATATCAAACAGGAATCCTTCTCTACAGTCCCAGCATCCCGTGTCAAAAATCTATATAACGCAAGAAATCCCCTTCTCCCAGAGAGATCCAAGAGGAACCAACTCCACATCATCTTCCCCCTCTGCCCAGACCACCTCATCACACTCCTCCAATACAACGCCGTACGCGCCATGGCCGCCAACCGCACCCTAATCTCAGACATCCTCACCACACCCCTAGACTGCGCAGAAGAAATCTTCCACGTCGTTCCCTACCCTAACAACCCTGGACTTCTCCCCTCAACACTCCTACCCACTATCACTCAACAGACAGTGCTTCACAGTGACTGGATCGATATGTTTCCTTGTCCGCAGGCGCGAGATAGTTTGATCCAGGCCGCTGGCACTTTTGATGAGGACGACCTGTGGGCAGACTGCGTCGGGGGACTTTATGAGGGCTTTCCTGATGATGAAATGGAACGACGTGGTATGATTGCGTGGTCGCCGACTTGGGATATATCGGGATGGGAGATGTCGGAAGGGTTTATGAGGAAATGGGGGTGGTTGTTCAAGGGATTGCCGGGGCCGTTAGAGGCGACAAATCGGTGGCGGATAGAAAGAGGTGAGGAACCATTTGCTCAAGACAACTATCAGTCGAGCTTTGTTACTTGAGCTTTTGTTGGCCTACAGGTACAGCTCGGTGCTATCACATGAGCTCCTTGACAGCTGATGATTCTTATGAAAGCATAAACTGCTAGCAACAGGATAACATTCTTGAAAAACGTTCAGCATCAAAACGCGTAGATCAAGGTCTTTAAGAAGGCTTATAAGTTGAATAACACTGATTGCATACCTGGAGTAAGATAAATCGGTACATGTAAACTTAAGACGCTTTGGCTGTATAACATGGTTCTCGCCATCGGCTACTCTCCCAGTCTTGTCTACGTCCTTTCTCATGCCAAAGGCATCATTGGAGCGATGCTTTTGCTTGGCCGGATAATACAGGACCTTGGTTATACCAACAGCCAGCCTCTACCGAACAGCACCGGATATAATGCTTTAATTTAGACTTGAGTTCATCTGTTTCCCATTAGAGTGTGACTTGAACTCGTGTTTGACTCTGTTTCATAGGTTTCATTTTAAACATGCCAAACTTTCTTTTCATTGTGTATCATTTCATTCAGTACTCTAGATCCATGACGGTAGACAGTAAGTGGTTTCAATTTGGGTATCTGTCGGTGGGAAAACGTGCTGGCTACCAGCCATTACCCATCAGCGCTTTCGGAAGGCTGATAGCTTGTGAAGCCTTAAAGCCCAACAACATAGCTGTATGGGTTTACCAAAAACTGCACCAGGTTAATGCAAACTAGGCTGATGGGTATATCCGAGACTACCTTAGGTTGGAATGCACTGCGAGGTTTGTTAGCGGACAAAGATAAAGCTGCATTATCGTCAGTGTACCTTGCATGCGTCACATCAGTCTATTCTTGCACTTTCCCGAATAAGGCCACATTAACAGACTCGTGTTTGCAGGAACGACAAGGCGGTATTTGCGTCGTATTGTTCGCGTACCCTTCGCCAAAGAAGAGATAGATCGCAGTAACTTCAGCGAAACCCATAAAACCCCTTAGCTCAGACTAAACAACATCTCGCATGGCAGACCTGCACTAGATACGGCTCAAACCCATTTCTCTAGACATGAAGTGATGATATGAAAGGCTGTGCTGTGAGGGATGGAGTGGTAACGTTCTGAATGGTCACGATCAGGTGATGCACCCAGTGTCTGGAGGCATCATTGATATTCAGACATCACCACAATCGAGAGTAGTTGGCTATAAAAGTCTTAGAACGCTCGTGAAGAGGATTGCCATGATTTCCGCAACTTCCTCATAAGTTATCAGTTATTGAGGAAGGGTTCACACTCGAAACCATTCCCTCAACTAGCAAAGGGCCTGACGCGTCTGAAACGCGCCGCGCCAAGATTTGGCGGCAGTAGTGGAGCACGCAAACTGCACATGGACAACGCGGGAGAGTTCAACGCAGCATTGCCACATCAAAGCCTCATTAGACATCGGCCGTAGCGTCTTTGGAACGTTACACGCTGGTAATGGATGCGGCTGAACTCCAACGCGGCGAGGCGCTTGTCTACCCCCAGCACTTTCTGAACTTATTGCAGCAACTAGGGCTAGAAGACGGGAAAGACTAGTGTGTGGCCGGGGTCATGACACTGTGCTTTCAGCATAAGGCCAGCACTTTTCTCAGTACGCCTAAGCTCAGCAATGCAATCGCTCATGAGCCTTGAGAGCTTTGTTGTTGAATGAAAGGAACTTCCTAGTGAGACTATGTCGTTGTCAGTCTAGTATTATGACGGATGTAGTTAGGGAACACCTGTCTCCACGTTTCGAAACAACGTATCAATTCTTCTGTCATTGACCAATTCCTATCATCAATGAGCCCGGTCGAGTTTAGTATCCGCTCAAGAGTTTGTTGTCGTTTGACCTTTCTATATCAAGTATGCTCGAAAGTTCTTGGCCCGACCACGAAACTTTTATTGAGATTCAGCCACTATTAAAGTGACGTCGATCATGTGAACCGGGAACTGGATGTGTGAGCAGTCCTCTCAGTAGATGGTAGCAAAGAGGTAGCCGAAATCGCATGGGAAAGGTCGCGTTACGTCGATAAAGATTCATCCTTGATCCGCCACCGCAAGCTTATATAGAGAGGAGTCTAGTCTTTTTTAAACACTCCATTATAAGTGTGCTCTGCTCTAATTCCAGAAAGTCATTGAGAGGCGGAGTATAAGAGCTACTGCTGTGTAATACCAAACTTCGACGGTAGTGCCTTTTTATGAAAATGCGTCTCATGTAGACGTTTTTTGTATTCAGCAAGGGGCTATTACTACTTTTACGACCACATTTCTGTTAAAAGATAAGCTACATGTCTTTGTGGCGCTAACTTCTCGAGCAGGATAATACTAGCAGCGATGTCTATCGTTTCGAGGCTATAATTCCACCCCATGCCCCGTATTCTCTTTATGCCAACTACGACGAAGTCAGGGCCAGGTAGCAATATCTCAAACAAGAGAATAGAATAGAGGATAGAACAGAGGAACAGATACCCGGTGCGCGCATATCAGGAATTACTAGTTTTCAATCCGTGACAGGCCCCATATCTAAGAATCGAAATCAGTGTAGCCAGAAAAGGTTCGGGTCTTGCCGAGACATCTTTCACGACAGTGTTCGCAAAGTTATGTCCTTATAGCTTTGGGAGTCATGACAGCCCCGATGACCAGCTTGTCATTGCTAAGCGAAGTCCACGTTGCCAAATCGTCAGAACTATATACGGAAACTCCACCGCCCTCAACTTACCCCTCAACCTTCTACTCCCCAAACCAGTAAAACTTACCAGTCTCTTAATCAATGGCAAGCCTACCAGTGTGGGCGTTAAAGATGTTTCCATCGGTGTCATGCCATCGGGCGCCCGGAACGATCCACTTCGCTGTCACAACTGTGAAGAGCCAGATGATGTGGAGGAGACGTCGGAAGTACACGGTGATCCTGTATCGAGCGATAGGTTGGCGTGAGGAAAATCGAAGCTTAATCAGGGGTAGGATTCACTAGAGTCACGGCTGATCCGATGCATCGAGGCCCCGTCAGATAAACAAGCATGTGTCCGAATCTCGTCGGTATCGCATCCTCTTCTATGATGTGCACATCCATCTAAGATCAATGAATGCTTTTCCAACCCACGATTAGGGTCCTGTCGGTATCCGATACTGATCTTTGACCGAAACTCGGGGAAAAGGAAGTGGTACCGCACGCCAAGCAATCCGGCCATGTCAATGCTCCCGCTCTAGCTAGTCGCCCTTTGCAATTCTTAACATGGGCAGCTACGCTAACCTGTGCGAAAAGACTTGCACCTCCTTAGACGAGGTGTCATCATCCAAACTTGCCTGTTGCGAGTAAGAATGGAAATTCTGACCCCTGCTCCCCTGCCTTACCGCGCAACTCTACATTGCCAACAAGCCTTTACGTGGGAACGAGCTTTTGCGGGGAAGCTTGCTCGATCCCGGCAGGGAAAGAGTAAGTCTCGGTACAAAGAAGGACGAGTGAAGCTTTTCTTGGTAAATAATTGGCGTTCCTTACCACAATATTCGATGGAGTATCTAGTCCCGACACACGGTGATGAAATTATTCCGCGAACCATTTTGCATCTTTCAACGGATTCATTCCCGTTAATTATGCTCAAGTAAAGTCACGGAAAACTTTCGTGTTCTGATTTACTGACGCCGAAGCAGTTATTTTCGTATCTGGGTAGGACTCACATCCTAATCGAACCTTCAAATACTTCTGGGCTAAGTCATCAAAATTGGTCAAATCTGCCTTTTCAGCCCTCTTTGGGGATGGGCAACAGGTTGATCATCCGGATTTGCACTAATCCTTCCTTTTCCCTTTGACCGAGTCGCTCTCTTTTGCTCCGATGAATTAGTCTTGTAGCTGTCTAGACTTTGATGTACATGGCTTACCGAGGCCTTCGATGTATGCGTTTTGGTACACGGGTGAATGGATACTTGTTATTTCGGCACTTGTCAAAGTCATGAACATTGAATTAGACTCTGATAGTCGACTCATCCGGGCTTCGTGTATTTCGTCAGGAATTCAGGATATCTATAAATTCAAGTCTACCTCACCCACAAATGCGAGAAACTTTGTCATCATACCTAGCATCGACTGACCTCTTACTTGTACCATCTCACCATGTTCTTCAATCGATTCATCTCGACAGTGGCGTTCGTAGCTGGCTTAGCCAATGCTGTCGCTCAGCTCGGTCCGGTTCGAGGTCTTGATCGACGACAGGAAAAGTATACACGTTCTGTAGTGCCTGCCAACGGTAACGGCTCTGATGACACGCCCGCCATCCTTGCTGCTTTTGACAAGTGCAAGACTGACGGACATATCATCTTTGAAAACGTCACGTATCACATCGGCCAAGTCATGAAAACTGTTGATCTAAACAACGTCAAGATTGATATCAAAGGGACTTTGCTAGTATGTGACGATGAGTGTGGTTATCGTAGTCTTTTGACGTTAAGAGATTGACTTGAAATACAGTGGAGCAAGAACACAACGTACTGGCTAGCGAATTCTCTGCCGATTGGCTACCAAAATCAAACCGCCGCCTGGGTCCTTGGAGGAAAGCATCTCGATGTGAACGGCTTTGGCTATGGCACGTTTGATGGAAATGGCCAGACTTGGTATGACTTGGTCAAGGGAGAGTCGAATTACCCCAGTGAGTCATGCTCTGTACGGTGTTGACGAATGCAACTGTCTTACTCGAAGTAGACCGACCTCATGCTCTCTTGCTTGACGGGGCTGAAGACTCGGTCTTTGAGGGTCTTCGATTTGTCCAGGCTCAAATGTGGTAAGTTGCCAGAATGTTCCGTTCTTTTGCTTCTATACAGCTTTGTGGACTTGTATCAACTTCTCGGAATAGGACGGTCACAATCACGCGGTCCAAACGTGTTCTCCTTCAAGACATCTATGTCAACAACACAAGCTCCAACAGAAACCCGGCTCGTAATACCGACGGGGCTAACACCATGTTCTCGGATAATGTCCACTTTCGTCGCTGGATAATCAAAAATGGAGACGACTGCATCGCGATCAAAGCTA